CATTGCAAAATGTGATTGATTCAATTCCAAATTTAACTTAAATTTGATTTTCTTCTCTCAACCTGGCATTTCCAAACAAAAATCAATCAAACCCCAAATTATAGGCAGTGTGTGAATCAACAATGCTGGGTTATTTCCGGTCGAATTTCTCAAGCAATGCATTTTATGCCATTTTCTGCTGCCATGAGAGTTGAGGGGCAAGTAAGAGAGAAAGTGAGAGGGAAATTAGATTACTAACTTTTTCCAGTCCCAGCAATCAATACGCCCTGGTGGAATTCTATTCCTACAGCACAGCTCATTCCATTGCAAGAGATGGGGTGGGGACTGTGAGTGGGAATGTGAACCAGATAGGACTGAGACCATCGCCTTCTGAGGACACTCATGCTGTATAACCTGCAACTGTCATTAATTGAGCTCTTCTTATTTTTGCTAATTACCTATTGCATCTTATTTCATTCTCACAGCAGTTCTGAAAGAAGACCACTGTTCCCATTTTTCACGTGGGGACGTTTTGTCTTATGAGTGTTGGAGCAATTGACAAGTGTCACACGGAGGTCTTTGGTTAAGCCAGAATTGGACCATAGATATGTCTGGCTCCAAACCCCATACTTTTTGCAACTACCTGATGTCATCTTGGTACCCTTATTCTATGATGAAGTGAGAACTAGTATGATGCAAGGCAGAGGAAGGAACAGGACTAGATCTAATTCGGCATCTACTACAAATGGGGTGGCCCGTTGGCATGTCATTTAGTAGCTCTGTACTTCTGATCTCTGTAATATGGAGAAAATAGAGACAGTTTGCCATGATGATTAAATTAGGTAATCCTCCTTCATTAGTGTGTAAGTTTCAGGGACATTGGCTGTTTTGTTCACTATGATTTCACCTGTGCCTAGAACAGCACCCAGACAGAGTAAATGTTCAGTAAACATTGGTTGGATGGATGGAAAATAGAAGGATGAATAGATGGATAGGTACTAGGCACAGTGCCTGGATCATAGTAAGCACTCACCAAGTGGAGGCTCCCTTTTCTGCCTCTGTTTCTTACAATGGCATCGCATACAACCTGCATGGGTCTGGTGTGGGTACTATGGGATAGAAGGTTTCTATTCTGTGGCTGTCTACAAGCCCAACTCAGAGCTAAGTGCTTATGCTCAGTTCCCTGGGCCAGGAACTCTTAGGAAGTCATCCTTGTTTGAGTCCCACTGTGAAGTTTCTGCCAGGTCCAGTTGCCATGGCAACCCCTCCAACCCCATTGACTGCTTCATGGGTACCTGGCCTTAGTGTAAGCTTGACCTGTGTGCTTTCTTCCTTCTGGAGTTCAGAGAGAACTGTGGTAATTGAGGCATTCTCTAAGTAAATGACTACCGCCAAATGCTGTTCATTCTCATCTCCTTTCTACTTTCTTCCTCATTTTATGTCTCCTCCTTCACTATTTGCTCTTTTTTTCTTCTGAGTCTATAAAGAATAATCCAATTCCTAAAATGTGCTGATAATTTGTTGGACAAAGAGGTAAATAAGTCCTGGTTTTTGTCACCAATGATGAGACAAATGCCTATACTAAGTTTGAAAATGATCATTCACCAAAGGCCTACTATGTGCTACATACTGTACTAGGCATTTGACATTTACTACCTCATTTAGTTCTTATAACTCTTGAAGGATACGTCATTTTATTACTATTTTCTAGGTGACAATACTAAGAACCAATAAGCAAATGTGACTTCACTCCCTGTGTTGACTCCTAAAGTTCATGGATTTACTTTGAAGATTTAAACGACATAAGAGACACCATTAGTACAGCAAGGACCCAGAGCTGCTAACTGGTCAATTAGAGAAAAGAATGTCTTGGTCACATGAGTCTCTGTTGCCATATGGGCCAGGAACAAGAAAGGCTTTCTCAGGGATCCCCAGGGTGCTACTGTCCATGACTCACTATCAGAGCATCTGCTCCCTGATGCCAGAAGTCTCTTTCTCCTTTCACACCTTATCCCTGGTCCTGTTTCACCTTCCCAAGAATGTTCATGCTGGATTCATCCTACATGTTCTTTTCCCAGAATAGACTCCATAGAATCTAGAGTAGAAACTCAGCGCTGCTAATAACTGTTATTAGGGGAGTTTTGCTAAATAACTGGGCCTGGGGTAATATGTTGACTTTTTCAGATGAGATCTGTGGAAGGCACCAACCCCTAATCCATATGCTGTTTGGTAGATAACATTGATGTTAGCTTGTTTACACTGTTTAGTTACTAAAATATTTATGTTATAAATATTTCTTGTAAATATGTACGAAACAACTTCTTGTGGCATTCAGATAAGAGATAAAACTTATTCCTTTTTTCCTGTGGTATTTTAAGTTTTAGGAATTTCCCATTTCCTGATGCCAGAACCATCTTTATATTTAATTTACTCTTCTATTAACATTTATTCTACACCTATAATAACCACAAATGGGTGGATACTTCCAAACATAAGCCATTCTTATCTCAGGACTGGAAATAAAGACAGAGATCTTATTCTTTTTTAATAATTTAATTTAATTTGATTTTAAAGTTGTGGAGTACAAGTCAGGATTGCATGCATAAGTGGTTAGATACAGATAAAGTTTTGGGTCTCCTGTTAGACCTCACTTTGCCTGTATTAAGATCCGGCACCCTTTTGATGTTATGTGCCTTCACCCATTCCGTAGTTTCCTGTTACTACCAGTTCCTTTTTAGTCGTATTATGGTAGGGGTTCAGGGTCCACTTATGAGTGAGGACATGTGGTACTCAGTTCTTTGTTTCGGAGATAGTTCATTGAGTATGATAGATTCCAAACCCATCCAAGGTGCTGCAAGTTCATAATTTTGTCCTTATTTATGGCTGCATAATATTCCATTGTGTATACATACCACATTTTTAAAATCCAGTCCAGTTTCAATGGGCAGCATGGTTGGTTTCATGCTTTTGTTATTGTGAATAGTGCTGCAGGATCTTATTCTTAAATTAAGCAACTTTCAGGTCCCAGGTGATGAGTTTGGCAGGAGAGACACAAAGATGGTAAAAGTGGAATCTTCTCCCTCAAGCAGCTTCCTGTTTATTTAAAAAAAAAGATATTCATACAAACATTCCCAAAGTGTGCTGCCATAAGGATTCTTGTTCTACTGGAAACATTGATATGGCCATGTGGGTTAGCATATGTTTTGGTTGGTAAGTGCCTGTGTCACGCTGGTTGATAATATTTGACTATAATTTCTGGAAGTCATCATGCATTTACTGAGATTCTGCCATGTGCCAAATCCTGTGCTAGTCCTGGAATTAATGGTGAACAAAAAATCTGGTGCTTGCCCTCAAGGAGTTGACTATTTACTAGTCTATTTACTAAAAGCTTCTAGTGTTCAGAATAAGGCATTTTGGGAAACACAACTAATGTAGGTGGTTTATTTGTTGGGAGCATGAGAAATGTATAATTATGGTGAATCTCAAGGGTGATGGGGAGACAAGGAAACAAGTGACATTCTATCCAAAAAACAACATTGACACTAATCTTTCCATGAGGAAGAGTGTTGATTGTGGGAACACTGCAGTAATTCAGCTCTGCTCTCCCCTGGACCAGGTAGCAGAGAGCACAGGAGGTATACATGTAGGGAGTCCTCATGAAAGGCCTTGGGTGCCAGGTGAATGAGCATGGATCACATCCTGTGACCAGATGCTGTGAAACAGCTTAGCAGGGAGTGAACTGGACAGATATGCCCACACTCCTTTCACTTCTCTTATCTCACAAGCAAACAGACAATAAAAGAGATGCTAAGGGCATGCTAAAAAGACTGCATGACTCTTCAGATGCTGAAAAGGAGGAAGACAGGAACTGAAAGATGACAACATTTCTGGTTAGTCTAAGTGGAGGTGCTTTCAATAAGCTGAGGATCCCAGGAGGAGAAGGTTTTAAGGAGAAAATGATGCACTCTATTTTGAACATATTTTATTTGACATGCTCATGGGATGGCCACAGAGAGATGTCTAGGAGGCTTGGGAATGGAGGTTTACTCAAAGGAAGCACCTAGCAGGTAAAGTAAGTTTAGGAGGCACTGCTTGAAAATTGGTAAGCAAAACCTTGAAAGTAAATGTGAAGAGCAAATGTTAAAGAATGAGAATTAAATGGGTGCTCAGGACAGACTCCGTATAATTCCTTTGTTGTCCCAGAGTCCTCTAGCTGTGCAGCTCCAATTGGCTTTTACTTTTGCATCTGTAAAATTATCTGTAAAATTTTCTGAAGCAAAACCACCTTCCCCATCTTCTGACCTCTCTTCTAGGTCTTAACGCAATTTGTCTTGGAGTCTAATTAACTATGGATAAGCTTACCTTTTTTCTGTAGCTTTTACATTTCTAAGAGTGGAGGCTATTCTTATTCTGCTCTGCATGTGTCTCACATAGTAGCTGCTCAGTAAATGCTTGTGAAATTGATATGAACTGATCAGTTTTTAGCTGTGAAACTCTTTTAGATGGCAAACATTATATATGCATTATGCTGTGTAATTATCACAACAACACTGTAAGGTTTTTATTATTATCCTCATCCAACACATAAAGGAAACCGCAGTTTGGAGAGTGGAACAGGTCAACCAACCAATGACAACTAAAACCCACATTTGAACCCAGAATAATCTAATTCCAAAGCCCATGTTTATTCTACTGAATTCAACAGCACGGTGTCTTCTCATTTGCTTCTAAAAAAACCGTGAAGAGCTTACTGTCATCACTTATCACCAAGAGTGACCTACTAAATTGGGAAGGGAGGGGTGAGAATTGCCACATTTTTCAGAAAGATTGCTTCTCTTATCTTCATCACAAGAAATGAAAAGCCCTCTTTGCAGAGAGTTAAACCAATGCCCAACAAGGGCCATGGAGGTATCATAGCAAAGGGTTCCCATTCGGAAAATAACAGAATTCTCCAGTTCCTTGCCATTCCTGTTTCCTCACCTCGTGGAATTATGTGTCTTTGTGTTTGTGTTACCAGGTTTGCTGAAAAGCCCAGTGAACAAGACAGCCCTGACACTGATTGCTGTGAGCTCCTGCATCCTGGCCATGGTGTGTGGCAGCCAGATGTCCTGTCCACTCACTGTGAAGGTGACTCTGCATGTGCCTGAGCACTTCATTGCAGATGGTAAGAACCAAGCATTGGAGATGCCCCAACCCACTTGGCACCTTGCACCCCTGGCTGGCCAAGGGTTCCCAAGCATGGCCCATCCTTAGAATGATATATATTACAGGGGGAAATGAACAGCGAGAGACCTTGGAAGAGGACTTTATCATTTGAAGTCCTGGATTTATTGAATTGAATGAAAGGCTGCTTTTATCCTATGTGCAGGGATAAGGCCTGTTAAATAAAAGAAGGATTTAGCCGGGTTTGGTGGCTCAGCCTGTAATCCCGTGCCTTTGGGAGGCTGAGGTGAGTAGATTGGCTGAGCCCGCGGGTTCGAGACCCGCCTAGGCAGCGAGACCTCATCTCTACAATAAATCAAAAAATCATCTGGGCGTGGTAGCACATGCCTGTAATTCCAGCTACTTGGAAGGCTGAGGCAGAAGGGTCGCCGGAGCCCTTCAGGTCGAGGCTGCAGTGGCCGGGAGCAGCCACTGCACTCCAGTCTGGGCGACAGAGTAAGACTCCAACTCAAAAAAATAAACAAATAAACAAAAGAAGGATTTAAATGTGAGTGTGGAAAGATTGAACTACTTCAGAGAACCTACTGGTTCTTATCATGCTTATGGATCCATTCCAAACTAAAAACGCCCACCCCTTAAAGGGTATTTACTAATTTAAAACATATGACAGGGTAGATTGTATGAGCTTTGCTGGAATTTTCTGAATGCCCTGGGTAATATTCATATCTCATTCTCTGTGAATGTACTTTACAAGTATCTTATATTCTACCATTTACTTTTCACCCAATTAAATTGAATTAATGAGACACTGTTGTCACCGTAGTCACTAGCAAAGCATGGTCCAAAACACTGTTTAAGGTGCTTGATATCTATTGCTAAAGTGCCCTCCAGAAGTGCTGTCCCCATTTACATACTCTCGCAGGATTTGCTGGCGCCTGTTTCCCAGGCTTTTTTCCACATATGTCATTATTATCTCCAAATGTATTCAAGTTTACCATAAATACTAGCAGGGAGGTATATCTTAACTGTACAGCTTAAAACATTTTTAAAATTTTTATTTCTTTATATTTTATTTTATTTTAAAGATGTGGGGTACAATTCAGGGTTAGGTATATAAGTGTTCATTATGCAGGTACCCTTGTTGATGAGATGTGTCCCTCCCTCCCCTGGCAGTTTCCCACTACTGCCAACTTTTTCTTATAGTATTATGATAATTGTTCAATGTCTACTTATGAATAAGAACATGAGGTTCTCAGTTCTTTGTTAAAATTTTTATTTTTTATTTATTTATTTTTTGAGTTGGAGTCTCACTCTGTCACCCAGACTGGAGTGCAGCGGCACGTTCCTGGCCACCACAGTCTCGACCTGCTGGGCTCTGGCGATCCTTGCACCTCAGCCTTCCAAAGGAGCCGGAACTATAGGTGCATGCTACCATGCCCGGCTAATTTTTTGATTTATTGTAGAGATGAGGTCTCGCCAAGTTGCCCAGGCAGGTCTCGAACTCGCGGGCTCAGGCCATTCACTCATCTCGGCCTCCCTATGTGCTGTGATTACAGGCTGAGCCACCGAGCCCGGCCCAAAATTTTTATTTTTTTCTGAGACACTCACTCTGTCTCCTTGACTGGAATACAGTGACACCATCACAACTCACCACAGCCTTGACCTCTTGGGGTCATGCCATCCTTCTGCCTCAACCTCCAGAGCAGCTGGGTCTACAGGTGTGTACCAACATCTGGCTAATTTTTGTAATTTTTGTAGAGACATGGTCCCACCATGTTGCCCAGGTGAGTCTTGAACTCCTGGGCTCAAGCAATCTTCCCACCACAGCCTCCCTATGTGCTGTGATTATAGGCATGGGCCATCATGCCTGGCCTACATATTTTACACTTTTAAAATGTATACATGTGATGAGTTTGAAGATAAGTACATACTTATGAAACTTTCACCATAAACAATGCCATAAACATAATCATTACCTCTACAAGTTTCTTCTTGCCCTCCTTTTATGTGATATGGACATTTAATATAGAATTATATAGGAGCCTTCCCAGATCAAATCATAAAACATTCCCAGAACCTCACAAGGTTTCCTCACTGCCCCTTCCAGGTGATACTTTCCAGAGGTAATTCTGTCTTCTAGTATCATACTAGTACCGTTAATTTTTTAAAAATCTTTTACCATTGGATATATGTTGAATGGTTTTGCGATCCTTACCCTCTGTTTATCAACCTCATCTCAATGTAACTGAATTTTATCTCCAATTTGTACATGCCAGTGTTGAAAACTGAATACCATCTCTTCAGTATGTTCTGACCAGAGCAAAGTGACACTTTTATCCCCTTTCTCTGAAATCATAGATGCATCCTTGGATTGTTTTCACTTCACTATCAAGAACAAGTCCCTACTTGTTTTCACTTGGACTGCAAATAAGTCCATCATTTCTTATTTCATTTGCATTCTGTTGATGTTCAGACATACATACCTGGTTCATCCCTATCAAATCATATGTGCACATAAAACAGGTAAACATGTCTGAGAGATGAAGGGAAGTGGTGTAGGGAGGCAGAAAAAAAAATTTACAGAAGCAAGTAGACAAGTGGTTTCATGGATTGTAGAGACAGAAGAATTGACAGAACCTGGATGTGGCTGGAAAACAGGAATGGGGAAGTAAAATGATGAACACTGAGTTTGAGAAAACAGTAGGGTGCATTTTGATCACTATAGAATGCCCCTTGCCTTTTATCCCTCGCCTGTCACTACTCATTAACTATAGGCTATTAGACCTTAAGACATTTGAGTTCTAAATATTTATTTTCATACATATAGAGATGGGAATTTTAAGGGAATATCTTGTTCAAGGTCATGATGAAATAGTTTTATGGCTAACAGCACAGATTTTGGAGTAATACAATCATGAATTTAAATAGTTGTTCTGTTGTCTACTACTTCTGTAGCCAAGTGAGTGATTTATCCTCTCTGGGTCTTGTCTCTGCATCTATAAAATTAGGATAACAGTAGTACCTATCTCATAGAGGCTTTCTGAAGACTACAACTCCTACTACTTTTCCATGTTTGTCAAACTTTCAGATAGCATGGAGCTGTGAAATACCAAAAATCAAGGGTCATCAAAAGATAGCTCCAAATTATCTTGACGGTTTGAAAGAAGGAGCCAAAATGTGGTGAATTAAAACATACCCTTTCTCAGTGACCTCTATTCTGACCTCTATCGTAGATCTGAAAGCCCATGAGCTTGTCTGTTTCTTCTTTTACACTGGAATCTCCGTGAGGGCAGGAATTGTGTCTCTGGGAGAAATATTGTATCCTCAGTGACAAGTACAATGTGTGGTCCATAATGGATGTTCAATAAATTTGTGTTGAGTGAATGCCTGAATGAAAACAGAATTGCTAATGATTCTAATGACTTCTTCTACTAGAGCTCTATGGGCAAAGGCGTGGCTGAGAAAAAAAAGGTAGATAATGCATAGAAATCAAAGATGTTTTAAGTTATACCTGGAAATTGTTTCAATCAGGTATGGTAAGACACGCAGACACGGAAATGACAGTTGTGAAACAAGATGTTTTTATACTCACAGATTCCAGATACAGGATGCACAGTACAAGATGCAAGGCCAAATGGCAAACCAGGATCTGTTAGGAGGCAGAGGGAGTGAGTGGAGAGCATGGGCAAGAATCTGTATTGTGGTGGTTTCAGGGAAGAATGGGTGAGGCAAAGTAAGAAGGGTAGACAGGCTTAGATTGGCTAGTTGGATCTATTTTAACCGACTCTGGAATTTAGTGATTGTCCCTAATCACTCAACATCTTGCCTTGGGGTAATTAGGGAAGAGAAATATTGCATCCTGAAGTGTGAAATGCAGATAGAGGAGATTAAAGTATGAACTCTGAATTGGTTTATTTGCTTATGAAAGGCATGCTCCTGGCCAAATCGTTTATTTTCTCCAAGATTTGCGCAGCCCCTGGAGGGGAAGTCTTTCACTAGTTAGCAGGCTGTAGATGCTGTAGCATCAAGAATACAGAAAATGAACGGAATGGTGGCTCACGCCTGTAATCGCCAGTATTTAGGGAGGCTGAGTGGGATGATTGCTTGAGCCCAGGATTTTGAGAACAGCCTAGGCAACATGATGAGACCTTGTCTCTACAAAAATTCAAAAAATTAGCCAGGCATAGTGGCTGAGGCGAAAGAATCATCTGAGCCCAGGAAATCAAGGCTGTGGTGAGCCATGATAGTACCACTGAATAGAGTAAGACTATAGCTGAAACATAAAAAATAAAAAAAAATACAGAAATGAGAAAATGCAGTTAATACAGTAGAAAATTTGAAATAACTATGGAATGTACAAGTCCTTGAGACATGATGGAGCAAACTTGGCAGCCAACATTGGGAGGACCTTATCCACAGTTTTTCAGTCTACAGTCATAATGGAGACTCCTTTCATTACATGCTATGTCTTGCTTAGGAATGTGACTCCTTTCAGATGAGGTAGGTTTTGTTTTGGATCTTAGTTCCATTGCTTAGTTACTGTGAAACATAGAAGAGTGAAATAAGCTCCCTGAATTTCATTTTTCTCATCTGTAAAATGAGAATAATTTTGAGGAGACTGAATGGCATAATGTATATAAAGAGCCTAGGAAAGTATCTAAAACATTATGATTTTCAATAAATAGTAAATGTTATTATGCTTGTTCTTAAAACAATTTGTAAAGAAAGAGACTTCAGAAACTGGAACATGGCAGGACAAGAGTATATAGAAACCTAAAGAGAAGAATTTACCTATTCTCAGTGAAGTGAATGGAACAGAGAGTACATTTTATGCACCCCCCCCTCCCCAATGGAAGAGGCTTTCTGATTTGACAATATTACCACTTGGAGACTCTCAATCTTCGAGTGTGAGCAGGAATCCTGTGAGCAGCCAGTACTTGAAGTCAGGTGGATGACTGCCTGATCGTTCCAGGAAAGTGTACCTTCCCCAGCATAATCCTC